TAAAGCTTTGTTATAAATAAAGAGAGAAACAAATATTTAATTAGAAAAGAATATTATTATAAAATGAAAATATAAATTTCATATATAAATCTATTCAAAAAAAGTCATCCTAAAATATTTATTTCGTATTTTCTTGTCCAAAATAAAGTGAAACAAATCACAAAATAAATACACATATCGACATTCTATATGAGTCTCATTTTTATATATAAAAAATTTATTAAAATTTTAATAATTTTATTTTGAATAAAAATTTAAATTTAAATTTAATCTCATGCCAAGTATTATTTGTAGTATATTAAATTGTTAATCCCACGTTGAATTGTTTTTTGAGTGAATGTTAAATATTTATTTACGTTTATTATATATTTACTTAACATGTAATTGATTGCCTTTCATAAATTTCTAACAAATTATTTTTTTAGTTTTTTTATTGTCTTACATAAATAAATAATAAATTGTCAAAAATAGTACCACATAGATATCGCCACATATCAATTTTTTAAAGAGTCATTTGCCATTTTTTTAAAGAGCCACATGTCGAATTCTTAGAGTAAGGAGTTTCAAATTTATATATAAAGGATTTTCTTGTCTAAAATTAGGTGAAATAAATCACATAATAATTACACGCATCAAATTTCTAAAAATATGAGTCTCATTTTTATACATAAAAGATTTATCAAAATTTTAATAATTTTAATTTGAAAAAAATTAGAATTAAAATTTAATCTCATGTCAAGTATTATTTGTAATATATTAAATTCTCAATCCCATGTTGAGTTCTTTTTGAGTGAATGTTAAATATTTATTTAAGTATATTAAATGTTTACTTAACTTGTAATCTCTTTGGCAAAACCCACCTGTGGATACGGTTAAAATTAATGTGTCTTTGTGTTCTGATACAAATGGCCATGGGCTTACTGCTATGGCTCGTGATTCAAAAGGGATATTTCAATATGCTTATTGGCTAGCTAATCAATCTTCTGTGTTGGTTGGAACTATTGAGTTACTTGTCATAATGCTTCAATGGTGCTTAAGTGCAGGATTTCAAGTACTACAGGTGGAAGCTGATTTTGAGGACCTTATTAATATTCTAAAACTTGATATCCTTACCTGCCCTCAATTGAGCAGACTTGCTTTTTTATTATCCTGTTGTACTTATACGGCCACCATTTGTGATAATCATGATAATAGGGTGACTAACTTCCTGGTTAGATGGTGTTGTAACCAGCGTCACCCAAGTGGAGAATTTGATTGTATATTTGCTCTGCCTAAGCGTTGTCAAATCCTCTGTCAGTGGGACATCCAACGTGTTCCTGAGTTTTCACCTTCCTCATCCTCATAACATTGTGTGAACTGTGTTGGCTGTTTTGGATTGGTCTTATGTGGTACTTTGGTTGTGTTTTTGACCTTATTGTGGCATTGGTCATGCCGTAGACTAGTAGTGTTGTTGTTAGCCAGGACCTTATTGTGGCTTTGGTCAAGCCGTAGACTAGTTGTTCTAGCTAGGACCGTATTGTGGCTTTGGTCAAGCCTGTTCTAGGCCCCCTTTCCCTTTCTTATCCTTTGTACTCCCCGGAAGGCTTGTCTTCCGTATGAGGGGCTGGCGTTAGGCCTCGGTTTGGTCCTCCCCTCACTTTGTGGTGACGATGATATCTTAATAATACTCGGTAAGGGTTGCCTAGACCTTACCCCACCATACTTGGTGGTTTGCCCACTAGGATTAAAAAAAAACTTGTAATTCATTGTCTTTCATAAATTTTTAACAAATTATTGTTTTTGGTTTTTTTGATTGCCTTACATAAATAAATATGAATTTGTCAAAAAATAGTGCCACATAGATATCACCACATGTCAATTTTTAAAGACTTACTTGTCATTTTTTTAAAGAGCCACATGTCAAATTCTTAGAGTAAGGAGTCTATACACATATAAAGGATAAATGATAAATACACATATCAACTTTCTATATAAGTCTCATTTTTATATATAAAAGATTTATAAAAATTTTAATAATTTTATTTTGAATAAAAATTAAAATTTTAATTTAATCTCATGTCAAGTATTATTTGTAGTATATTAAATTGTTAATCCCACGTTGAATATTTTTGAGTGCATGTTAAATATTTATTTAAGTATATTATATATTTACTTAACTTGTAATTGATTGCCTTTCATAAATTTCTAACAATTTTTTTTGGTTTTTCTATTATCTTACATAAATAAATGATAATTTATCAAAAAAATAGTGCAACATAGATATCGCCACATGTCAATTTTTTAAAGAGTCATTTGTCATTTTTTTAAAGAGTCAAATGTCGAATTCTTAGAGTAAGGAGTCTCAAATTTATATATAAAGTTTGATAATCATGTTATTATCATCCCATGCCTTAAACTTACCAATTTAATAGGCCACCACGATCATTCAAAGGGTTGGATTAGGAAACAAAGGATTTAATTTAGTTTGGCACGAGCAGATTTGGCTTGAATCGTGCAAGGAAATAATTCTTGTATCGGAATAATCGTGCACACACTAAACTTAGGAAGAAAGTCTGCAAGGAGTGATGCCAAAGAGTGAGGATTTCTCCGAACAATCAGCGAAGCAGATCTTCCGGTTGCTCGAGAAAGAAAGAGACAGGAGAATGGTGAAGATCTGGTCTTACGGCTTAAAAGGGCTAAATTAAGAGAGTAATTTAATTTTGAAACCCAAAATGAATTTTTAGGTCATAAATGTGATGAAAGATGTCATGTAAAAAATAGCCCAGTAAACATTCCACATGTCAAATTTCTAGGAGATTAACTCTCCTTTTTATATATAAAGATATGGGATTTGCTAAAAAATTCTACTATATATATATATATATATATATATATATATATATATAATATACACACCTTATGACTCGAGTGAGATAACACCTTCTGGTGAAATGACATGCTTCGGTCAGATGACGCAAAGCTCACCACTAGCCAGTGCAAAGCTCACCAAAGACAATTACAAAGCTCACCATATTTTTTCAACACTTCGAATTTTTTTTGGAAAAAAAAAACAAAGGAAGGGGTGCTGACTAGACTTTGACCTGACCGTTGACCATCACCGGCCACCGCCGGCTGCCGCCGCCGACCTTCAGACGCCGGCCGCCGCCGCTGGTCTCCGCTACTGACCGGTGGTTGACCGGTGTTGCTATTTTATTTTTAATTATTTTTTGAATTTTCAAAATTAAAAAAAGGTGAGTTTTGGTGTTCAAAGTGGCGAGCTTTGCTTTATTTCCAGGTGAGCCTTTACATTGGTCATTGGTGAGCTTTGCAATGTAATATGGTGAGCTTTACGTCATCTCACCGAAGCATGTCATCTCACTGGAAGGAGTCATCTCACTAGAGTCAATCCCTATATATATGGCAGCGGCGGTGACCGGCGACCAGAGACCGGCGGCGGCGGCGACCGGAGACCAGCGGCGGCGGCCGGCGACTGGAGGCCAGCGACTGGCGGCGGCGGCGGCCGGCGGCAAGCGGCGGTCAATGCTGGAGTCAACGGTCAAAGTCTAGTCAGCACCCCTTCTTTTGATTTTATTTTTTGCAAAAAAAATTCAAAGTGTTGAAAAAAATATGATGAGCTTTTTCTTACAGTTTGGTGAGCTTTGTAGTTGTGCTTGGTGAGCTTTGCAGTAGGGAGTGGTGAGATTTGCGTCATCTGACCGAAGCATGTCATCTCACCATAAGGTATCATCTCACTGGAGTCAATCCCATATATATATATATATATATATATATATATATATATATATATATATATATAGATTTTGGTTCAGGTGAGAATGCAATCTAATGAAAGAAATAAGAATGAATCTGGTGCATTAGATTGGGAGATCTAAGGGTTAGGATTGCATCAAAATTAGGTGCACCAAGATGGTTTGAAAATGCATCATGTCGAAATGCACCATAATCCTTTGAAAATGCACTATCTCAAAATTTGAGTGCAGAATGCAATCTGAGCCGCACGATGCATCAGATCCAAAAGCTAGACTTTATTCTTATTTCTTTCACCAAGGTACATTCTCACTTGAACCAGCCCCTATATATATATATATATATATATATATATATATATATATATATATATATATGTATGTATGTATGTATGTATGTATGTATGTATGTATGTATGTATGTATGTATGTATGTATGTATATATATATATATATGGGATTGACTCCAGTGAGATGATACCTTATGGTGAGATGACATGCTTCGGTCAGATGACGCAAAGCTCACCAAGGACGACTACAAAGCTCACCAAACTCTAAGGCAAAGCTCACCAAATTTTTTTAACACTTTGTTTTTTTTTGAAAAAAAAATCAAAGAGAGGGGTGCTGACTAGACTTTGACCGTTGACTGAGAAATCTGACCGAAGCCTGAACCGCCCCCTATATATATATATATATATATATATATATATATATATATATATATATATATATATATATATATATATATATATATATATATATATATATATATATATATATATATATATAGAATGCAATCTTATGAAAGAAATAAGAATGAATCTCGTGTTTTAGATTGTGAGATTTAAGGGTCAGGATTGCATCAAAATTAGGTGCACCAAAATGATTTGAAAATGCATCATGTCGAAATGCACCAAAGTCCTTTAAAAATGCTATCTCAAAATCTGAGTGCAAGATGCAATCTGAGCCGCACGATGCATGAGATCCAAAGGCTAGATTTTATTCTTATTTCTTTCACCAATGTGCATTCTCACCTGAACCCCCCCCCTATATATATATATATATATATATATATATATATATATGGGTTAAGGAGCAAAATATGAGTATAACATTGATTAAAATCTAAAATAGGAGTGAAAACATAAAACCCCTAAAATAAGAGCCCCTTTTTGACACTATCACTCCGTTCACCAATTTTAGACACTAACAGCAAGAACCACCTAGAGCTGCGACCTGTTACAACAATTGATACTTGAACATAAAAAATTATTAGAAACAACATGATAGACAGTTGAATATCATTCATATAAGAACGGTAATAACCTTCTACCAAGTAATATCATATTCCAAGTCCACAAAAATCTGACTTCAATTTCAAGAACCAAATCATGCTCAAAACTAATTAGCTGCGGGCTGTCCACTTGGAGCTGCCGCCACCGCCACACGAAAATCGAGTAGTCATCTCAAGTCGCCGACACCACCGTCACACTTTGCACTATCGGCATCGATCGCAATGCCACATTAATTGTCTATACAGTGACAAAAAAGGCACAATGTCAAACATGACAACACATAATGTCACATATAGCAACACATAATATCACATATTGCAGTGCATAATACCATATATAGATGCCCATATATAATGTCACATATGCAAATTCACAATGTAAAACAAAGGGGTAATGTCAAACCCAAACATTGCCTAGCACTCTTGTCGGCGACCATCACTCATATAACAATCACCTTTGTGGCGGCCGGATGACCAATCGTCTCGAGACATAGCCATCGACTTCAAGCTTTGGATAGTGAAATTTGTCTCCAGTTGAGACATCAAGCTCAGGGCCAAGGGTTTCGACCGACTACACCATGGATTCTGCCAAGAACTTGGTATTAAAGATTCCGATCTCGACTGCCGACGGGGGAGTCCATTTTGCTGGAGATGCATCTACCGACGGGGGAGCATAGGAAACGGACCATTTGATGAATTAGATTCGGATCTCAACTAGTGCTTCCGGGGAGTGGGATTTCCAATCTCGGCACTGGCCGACGCCGGATCTGAGGCTTTGATCCCACCGGTGAGTCTAGGCTATTTAGGAGACACCTACTTAGATTAGAATGTCTATGTTCTTTGTATCTTAGTTCTTATCCCTTGTATAGTCTCATCCGTATGGTTGTACCTTCCCTAACTTAGTGCCTTGGTTTTAGGATAGCCAAGCCCATCTGCATGTACGTAAGTATAATGCCACAAGGCATTCTTCTATAATGTATATACAACTTTGATACTAATCATTACTCTTATATGGTATCGGAGCAACTCTAGAATTTTTTTCTAGTCCGATCCTCCTCTGCTGGGTCTCTTCATCTGCCCCCTATGGCTTACTTTATCACTAAAGATACACCCATTGTCCAACTTCATGCAAAGACACATTTTCCGATCAAACTGATCACCACCAATTTTCCCATCTCGCAACGTCAAGTTCGCTCCACTCTCATTGGCCTTAATCTCCTAGGCTATGTTGACGGGACACTCACGTCCCCCCCAACGACGGTCGATGGCTCCGCCAACCCGTGCTATTTGGTTTGGTTTCGACAAGGTCAAGCCATTGTCGGTGCTCTTTTGGGTAGTTGCACCGACACCATCCAACCCCTCATCTCCAATGTCAACACGGCTCGTGAAGCGTGGCTCAATCTTCACTCCAGCTTTGCGAGTGCGAGTCACGGTCATATTCTCGCCCTTAAATCCAAACTCGGGAAGAATCCGCGCAGGAATCGGCCTATTAACGAGTATCTTCATGAGATGCACTCTATTGCCAATGATCTTGCGCTTAATCAGAGTCCGATTGCAGAAGAAGATCTTATGGCTCATGTTCTCAATCAACTTGGTTCGGAATATGACTATTACTTCGGCTGCATTTATTCGAGGGTCCAAACTACCGTTTTCTGAGCTCGGAGATGTTTTGTGCGACTTTGAGTGCAAATTAAAACTCACTGAAGATGCCCTTGCGCCTTTGGTTGCTACAGCCCATGCAACCCAACGCCATTCGTCGGCCAGCTGATGGCAGCACGTTTGGTTCCCATGCTAATTCCTCCAGGCCTTCTGGACACCAACGTCCATATCCAGAGGGGTCTCTCAAACCCTCACGTCGTCCGGATCGTTCCGTTGTGGCGTGCCATTTCTCCTCCATTCCGGGACACGACATTAAGGTGTGTCGCAAACTAGCCCGCCTCCTCCGTGACCATGGTTTGCAGACGGTTTCCTCTCATGGTGTGTCCCCTCCTGCTGTCCATGCCACAACCGTCACACCGGATGGGATGCCTCCGTGGTTGTTTGATAGTGGGGCTAGTCATCACACCACTCCGGCACCTCAATATCTCCAGTCCTTCGCTGATTATGGTGGCCCTGATGAAATACGCCTGGGTAATGGTAAGGGTCTCCCTATCTCTCACATTGGTTCTACCTCTATTCCCACGTCCTCTGGATCCCTGGAATTCAAGATCGAGGATAAAGTATTCTTGAAAGTCTCACCCTGGAAACGGATTATTCGATTTCAGAATCGAGGGAAACTAAATCCACGATACGTGGGACCTTTCCCTATAATTGAAAGAATTAGACATGTTGCTTATCAGTTGCAACTACCCCCGGAATTGGAAAAGATTCACGATGTCTTCCATATATCTATGTTGAAGAAATATGTACCAGACCCATCTCACATCCTGTCAGCACCACCAGTCGAGATCCGTGAGGATCTTAACTATGCAGTTCAACCGGTGGAAATCTTAGACTATCAGATCAAAAAGCTCCGTAGCAAGGATGTACCGATGGTAAAGGTCTTTTGGAGGAGCGATGAGTGGAGGAAGAGACTGAGGCTCACATGAGAGCTCAATACCCATCTCTGTTCTCATGATCTATTTCGGGGACGAAATCCTGATAAGGTAGGGAGAACTTGTAATACCTAGAAAAAAAATCATTTCTGATATTGTTGTGAATAATAACTATTGGAATAAGTGGTCCGAATAAAATTTTTAGAGGTTTTAACCATACAATTTTAAGAGTACGAATAAATAAATGAATAAATAAGTAAATAAATAAAACAACACTATGTAATAATGGAAGAAGCATCCACTATAATAAAAATACATGGCAGTAACACCTAACACCTAACCACATGAATCATGTGAAGACCCAGGACATCAGTGAACGGATAGGATACTTCACTATCAAAAAAAAATGAGAGTCTCATAAAATCTGCCAAACACATTTACTATAAATAAATACTCCACCCACCCATCAACACAACTTGAAGTGTCTACACTATATACGGAGTATATATAAACCCCAACATAGTGGCCTTGCACAAAAAAAAAAAATACGTAAAACAACTCTCCGGTATCCAAGCCTCAAACCCTTGTATATCAATAAACAGCTAGTCATACAACTTATCTTCCAAATTCCTCCATCCCTGGAAAGAAGAAAGCAGTGTGAACACCAACTTCACTATGCCAAACTGAACGAGTTGAGTGGGAATAATACTTTATACCTCTAAATTGTTTATGATAGTCTATTACATTTCTTCTATGTTTTGACTTTTATATAAAGTAAAATAAGATAAAATACTACTCAGTTTAGAGGTTTCAAATTATAAACTTATCTTTAAAGCTATTTTAAAGGATTAGAAATCAAGAAAATTCTGCCAACGGAAGTTATTAACCTTAACAATTTGTTTTTAAAAAAATATCAAACACAAAGCCATGCCCAGACAGATTCTTCAAATTTAGAAAGGGACTGATACTTTTACAAAAAGAAATCAATATTTTAATACCATCCAGGGTTTGCAATTATTTACAAAATTGAAGAAACTACCCGAATTTGGGAATTTTCTAAAATCAGGTTTGAAAACCTTGTCTCAATAATTTACTTAAAACCAAGAATGGGAAACTTTAATTCTTGTTGTTCAAACCATGAACAAGGGATACCTTGCAAATTCCCAAATAGATGTCCTCATATGAAAATTAATAACTTTAAACGAATTGAATCTAGGTCACTGTATTTTTGGAGTAAACGAGCTAAATGTCGAAACTCAAGAGTCCTCCTTTGAGATTTTATTAGAACCAAATCGCTATTAGAACAAGAACGGAGCCAAATTTAACGAGGAAAAAAAATCAGTTGTACCTTATTCCCGCAGTCAGCATCTCCATCGTTCTCCTTCATCGCTTCAACGAAGTCGAAATCTTCGTTTCCAGAAACTGACGAGCGACAGACAGCACAGATGAGCGATGAAGATGATTGACCGGGAAGAATCTCTCTCTCTCTCCTTTTCGGATGTAGAGGAACGAACCAGAGGAGAATTTTTTTGAGATAAGGAAATAAGTTTTTTAAAGAGAAGAGTAAAGTTTCGGGCCAAAAGGTAATGTACCTCAAGTTTGGGCTGTAGCCTTTATGATAAAGGGCAATACAGAATTTCACCCCAAAGATATTGAAAGGTTATGTTTTGGTCATTCTAAATTGTTGTGGCATGATTTTATAACCTATAGGTAGTAAATCATGGTATAGAATATATTGTCTCCTTTTTATTACAAAATAATAATAGATCTCCGATTTTATAAACTGAGATGCTATTAGTAGATGGGCCCTATATGTAGATGGCTTTATAGCCATCGGTGGATAAATCTCGGCCGTAGATTAATTTTATAGTACCTCCCTAAGTGACCGCATAATAATAATAGGTCCGGGTGCCGGTTGCTATTATTGGGGACGGGTAGGAAGGGTCATGCGTGATTGCTTCCTAGCCCACAAATAAGAGGAGCTACTTTCGAGTACCTCCCAAGTGTTAGGGCTTAGCGCCACCACTAAGACTAACACGCCCTAACGCCGAGGTCTTTGAGGGGATAAGGTTAGGCTTTAGCCATAGAATACCCTAAAATTGTACTAAATAAATGACTAACCCTGAGAGGGTATTATCTTATTTACTGTCGCTATAAATCTTGTCTCACGGGTAAATAAGAACAAAGAAGTATGTTCTGATAAAACACCTCGGCGGGTGCTTCAAGACAACCTGATCAGTTAAATTGAGCACAAAAGAGGGGCTCCCCAAAGGGTAAGAAATGATGAGAAAGGAATAGATTTGAAAACAAAAGAATAGTAGACATGTGTTTACACTGTCATAAACAAATTACTAGGATATCGTATTTCTCTCCTCACTAGTACACGATGTGGCATTGTACTCACCCCTCCTCATAACCATTTTAGGTGCGTAGCCGTTCTCGTGACGGAATTTCCTCGTGAATCAGTTGTCGTAGTTGCAAGCAAGACCTCAGTGTGGTTTGTGGACCGGTCTCTTTGAAGTTCTTATTATGCTCATGTTGTTTTCTTAAACTATTCCATTCATGTCGTTTCCTTATTTTGCCCTTCGTGGCAGGCATGTTGTATTCCTCTTAAACTCTGATCTTATCTTAATAAATAAAGTGATTATGTTTTGCTTGATGTGATACATGTATATTGTTAGCCTTGTATGATTCATAGATTCCTTTCGATAAAGGGACCCATGAATCGTACAGCGGTTGTCCACGTCACCGGGCGGTCCGGGGCGTGACAATTATGCTCTTCCGGGAAGTCCATCATGTTGTCTTGTCCGATTTGCATCATACACTCGGCCATCCCTCCCATAGAGTTCTCGTCAAAATGTTGTGGGGCTGTAATAAACAAGTTTCTAAACTAGATTTTGACACTTTTCATTGTTCTTCATGTTCCATTAATAAAAGTCATAAATTGCCGTTCTCTGATAATTCCCTTACGAGCACTGCTCCTTTACAACTTATATACTCTGATGTATGGTCCTGTACTGATGTGTCTATTGATGGTCACAAACACTATGTTATATTTGTTGATCATTTCACAAAATACGTATGGCTTTATCCACTATGTCGCAAATCAAAGGTCTCTACTCTTTTCCCAATCTATAAACAAATGGTGGAAAAATTTTTCAATAGACAAATCATCTCGCTTTATTCTGACAATGGTGGTGAGCATATTCACCTGCGTTCCTTTCTTGCGTCTCACGGGGTATCTCACTTTACCACCCCGCCTCACACACCTGAGCATAATGGCACGTCGGAACGTAGACATCGTCATGTCGTTGAGACAGGCTTGTCCTTACTTCACCATGCGTATATGCCTCGTGCGTACTGGCCTTATGCATTCCAAACTGTGGTTTATCTCATAAATCGCATGCCCACACCCATTCTCCGACACCGCAGTCCGTATCAATGTCTTTTTCACAAAAACCCGAACTACATCAAACTACAACCGTTTGTGTGTTTGTGCTACCCTTGGCTTTGTCCGTACACCACATCGAAACTCCAACCCAAACCGATTCCGTGTGTGTTCCTTGGGTATTCCACCACTCAATCTGCCTACCTGTGTCTTGATCCTCACACCCATCGACTCTATGTGTCTCGCCATGTCCAGTTTATCCCGCATCAATACCCGTTTTCCGCTACCTCTCCCGTCTCCCCCTCATTGCCTGTTGTCGTGCCTACTCCAGCGGTGCGTTCTCCAACCCCCTGCAATTCTCCTCCTGTCCAACCCACTGTTCCCATCCCTTCCGTCCTCACTCCAGTCGTCCCACCTACTACGTCGGCTGTTCTTTTATCTACTGTTCTCCCCATGTCAACCACTGTTTCTACTACTTCCACTTCCTCTATTTTGGTCTCTACCTCAACCACGTCTTCCTCTGCCGGTGTCGTGCGTCCAACCCGTCAGCGTCGTCCCAATCCCAGATTCTTCAACTCTGACTTAGTCACAAGTCTCCCGGAGTCTCATGTCAGAACCCGCCACCCACTGCCAGAGTCCCTTGAACCCAAAACCGTTGCTCAGGCGCTCAAGGATGCCCGTTGGTGAATGGCTATGGATGTGGAATATCAGGCTTTACTCAAAAATGCTACATGGGATTTTGTCCCTCGGGGGGAGCAGCGCCCGATTGGGTGCAAATGGATTTTTCGTATCAAGCATCGTCCGGATGGGTCTATTGATCGGTTTAAGGTCCGTCTAGTTGCCAAGGGCTATTTACAAGAACCTGGTCGTGACAACTTTGAGATGTTTAGTCCGGTCATGAAAGTGGTCACGATTCGTTTGGTGCTTAGTATTGCCCTTACGGTAATTGGATATTAATAATGCTTTTCTTAAAGGCAAGTTGTCTGAGCAGGTATTTATGGAGCAGCCTCCTGGCTATATTCATACGGAATTCCCTTCGCATGTCTGTCGGCTTTCTAAGGCTATTTATGGATTGAAACAGGCTCCCCGCGCCTGGTATGACTCCTTATCATCCTTCTTATGTGTTACTGGCTTCTGCAAGTCCCGGGCTGATTCCTCTCTGTTCGTGTATGCTAAGGCTTGCGTGTTGGCCTATTTTTTGGTTTATGTGGATGACATCATTATTACAAGCAACTCCTCTTTGTTTATTGCTTCCTTTGTTGCTACACTGTCACGCCAGTTTGCTCTAAAGGACCTGGGCGCTCTTAGTCATTTTCTGGGTGTTGAGGTTATCCCTATGTCCTCCGGTCTGTTTTTATCTCAAGCTCAGTATATCTCCAACATTCTTGATAGTACTCAAATGGCTGATGCAAAAGGTCACTCCACTCCCATGATGTCCCGTTCTTCTCTTGCCTCGCTTGTGGCAACTTCTCCTGCCGATGTTACTGCCTTCTGCCGGGTCCTTGGCTGGTTGCAATATCTCTCACTAACTCGGCCGGATGTCTCGTTTGCTGTTAACAGGCTTGCTCAATCCATGCATGCTCCCACCAATGGTCATTGGAAGGCGCTCAAGCGTCTTCTATGGTATCTCAAGTCTACTTTGTTCCATGGTTTATTTCTCTCCTGAAATGTCCCACTGCAGCTTTCTGCTTTTTCGGATGCCGACTGGGGGGCGTTACTGATGGTGGGCGCTCTACAACGGGATACGTTCTTCATCTTGGCTCCAACATCATCTCTTGGAAATCTGCTCGACAGAAAACTATTTCTCGTTCATCGACTGAGGCTGAATACGTATTGCGCACTTGCTAACACGGTGGCCGAACTTGCCTGGGTTCAAAATCTGCTTTCTGAGTTACGTGTCAGCTCTCTTCCTGCTCCACGTCTTTTTTGTGACAATCTTAGTGCGGTTTATGTGTGCAAGAATCCAGTTTTCCACTCCCGTATGAAGCATCTTGCTCTTGATTATTTCTTTGTCTGGGATCTCGTTGCTTCTCGTCGCCTGCATGTCGTTCATGTCCCTACCACGGAGCAAACTGCTGATATTCTAACAAAACCTCTTGGCCAAGCTCTATTCCACAAATTCTGATCCAAGATTGGCGTCTACCATGGATCCGCCATCTTGCGGGGGCGTATTAAGGAGACACCTACTTAGATTAGAATGTCTATGTTCTTTGTATCTTAGTTCTTATCCCTTGTATAGTCTCATCCGTATGGTTGTACCTTCCCTAACTTAGTGCCTTGGTTTTAGGATAACCAAGCCCATCTGCATGTACGTAAGTATAAAGCCACAAGACATTCTTCTATAATGTATATACAACTTTGATACTAATCATTACTCTTATGTAGGCGAGCGATGGGCGGAGCTTGTTGAGAGGAGTCGCGACAGAACGGGGATCGGCAGAAGGGATGAAGGGAACCGACCGATTTTTTTTCCTTTCTGAATTGAGTACTGGGCGTGGGAATATGTATATTTTTTTCCTATTTAATTATTTCTATTTAGAGGAGTTTAAATTTTAACTCCACTTTGAAGATATAACATATGTTTTACTCCTATTTGTGGGTTTTCTATATTTTTTAACATTTGGATGGTGCATTTTATACAAAAATTTAAGGGTGGTGCCTTAATAAAAAAAAATTGAGGGACATGTGCTCTAAGTTTTCTGAGTCCACGGCTCAAGATCTCCACACTTCCGGCAAATAGCACCACCGCCACCAGCCCTAGATTATTCTACATTTTAAACTTTAGACTTGAAAAGCCTCTGCACGGAGAGAGAATGGCATCTCCGGGAGAGTGGCTGGAGAAGGAGCTTTTTGAATTATGCAATAGAGTTGAATCAGGATTGGTTTTAGATAACGAAGTCATATCGGGGCTTGTATCCTACTGCGAGCTTGCTTCGCCTCTTGATGCAAAAGAATATCTTGATGTGATTTTTTTCCCTTTCATATTTCTTTCTGCAATTACTTCATTCATATTTCAATTATTGAATTTGCAATGTTCATAGTGGAATCATGATTCCCGTTTCTGGATCCCCCCTCCCCCATGATATTATGTGTGGTATATGCACCTGTTAGAATTTAATTGGTTAAAATAAGCTTAGATTTGTGAGCTCTGAGAAGAATTCAAAAATGTTGCTAAAACATGCAAGTATGCTATTAAATGTTGCAATGATGTCCTAATGATTGTCCTTACCCAAGGGGATTGAATAAAAGTTTACATAATCGTTTTCCATGATTTAAACGTTCATATGGTTCCTGATCATTCAGACATTTATCCTTGTTGTCATAATGATTGGCTATATGCACATAGTGCAACTCTTTATCCTCTGATCATGAGTTGAAATTTCTTATGTGTTTCAGAATGAAAAGTAAGATATTATGCTTTCCAAACTGAACATTTGGTTTCGGATATTTGTTTCTTTAGTACTATTTCTAATTTTCTGGATGGTATTATTTAATAGTATGCCACTAAGACACCTTTTGTTTGATCCACTCTATGACATTGATTCTTTTTCTCTTCTAGAATTTCAACCATATGTTTACTGCTGGAGAACCATACTGATCTGAGAAAATTTAGTTAAATGTCGTTCAGAGCTCCATAATACTGAATTAAGTCATACAAAGATGTAACTTGTAGGCTTGGCTATGAAAGTGGTTTCAATATTAAGCTTATCTAACAATGTGTTTGGAATGAAGAGGAAGGGGCCGCGGGGGTTATTAAAGGAAACAAGGGTAAATCAGGGGATATGAAATGATCAAAGTCTGATTGCATTGGGTAGTTTATTCAAGGAGAGGAGAGAGAGAGAGAGAGAGTAGTAATGACTGGGGTTTTCCTAAGTACTTTCATCATACCATAAATTTCTTAGAGCCTTATTCCCTTGAGCATGTAATTTGAAGAATTCAGCATAATCTAATGTGTTAATGATGTACCTGGCATGTGTCTTCAATAGAATATCATTGGACAAGAGTCTGGAAAAAGTATAATTGAGGAGTACATGAAGAGGAGAGGTCATTCAAACATGCACCATACAACTCAAGATGCTTCTAGTTCCCAATTGCATGTATATATAAAACCACCCTCTAATCCTAGTTCTACCCTTGGAGCTAAGAAGCCTATGAAAGTGCGAAAAAACGATAAGGCCCTTGTTAAGCAGGAAATTGCAACCAAAGCCGAGGCCTCAATCTCTCAAAACAATGAAAGACATGGTCAGAACAACTCCAAAAAGAAGAAGTCTGGCAAGGCACTTTCTCTTGCCGAGGCTGCGAAGGGATCCATTGTGTTTCAACAAGGGAAGCCATGTTCATGCCAAGCCCGTAAGCACAGGCTTGTTAGCAATTGTTTGTCATGTGGGAAGATAGTATGTGAACAGGAAGGCGAGGGCCCTTGCAGTTTTTGTGGTTCTCTCGTCCTTAAAGAAGGTAGCTCCTATGCTGGTTTGGATGGTGTGGTCGCAATCTCAGATGCCGAGTCTGCAGCTGAAGCCTTTGCAAAAAGGCTTGTTGATTACGACCGCAACTCTGCAGCTCGTACAATGGTACTAGATGACCAAAGTGATTATTATGAGATTGAAGGCAATAACTGGTTGTCAATGGAGGTATGGACTTTCTTATCATGTGATCTCTCTGTTCATACATACAACATGTATGCTGCTGAATTTTCTCTCTCTATAAATAGGAAAAGGAACTCTTGAGTAAGAAGAAAGAGGATATTGAGGAGGCTGAACGTGCTAAACGTAATAAAGTTGTAGTGACCTTTGACCTGGTTGGTCGCAAGGTAGCAATCACTGATTATCATTATTCCTCCCTTTCCTTGGTTTGTACTCTGTATTGTTCCAACATGGATGCATGTTGAAAGTGTGATTCCAGGTTTTATCAACCCACACTCCTCATTTGCATTTTCCAGGTTCTGTTGAATCAAGATGAAGTTTCTCATGAATTGCATAGTGGCATTCTAACCCGGCCATATGAGGAGAAGGAAGTAGAAGCTGCTCGCATTAAGCCAAACCTAAATCACAAGATACAACCAGTATTCATTGATCCTGGCCCCAGGAGGACTCCCAAAGAGGAAATGAACAAAGGTTTAAAGAATGGCTTGTGCTTGGAGGTTACAGGAAGAGTACAACATGATACCAACAAACCGGCCCCACAAGTAATGAATGAAAATCATCAAGAAAGTTCTTCAAGTGCGACCAAGCCATGGCATGAACCCTCAGTTGCAAGAAGTCCCCATATTCCAGATAATAATGAATGCTCTCTAGATTACTTTTGACACAAAGGTATGATATATCTTCAGAATATACAAAGTTTACCTGCCAATACATATATTAAATGTTCATCTTATTGTGATCCAGAGCGTGATGCTTTTATCTCCCAAAAAAGAGCTTATGGTTTGATGAAGTATGTAAATTAGGCTTTTTTCCCTTTAGTAGGGATACTAATGGTTTGATTAAACACTAGCCATTGCGATTCAGCCAAACTGCACAACTGTAACTACACTTGAAGAACTGTTCTTTTTTTTGTCAAATTTTATTTAACACCCCCTCACAGCAGCACAGCATACACTGGGGGCAGCTCACCATAAAACTATGAGAATTTTAGAGTGACATAAATCTGACAACCTGGATTTCTAGGTGAAAATGGTTGGTATTTGACCTCGAAAGCGGGGGTAAATTTCACCCATGGTATACGAACTTTCATCATTATTTTACTTCGGTATATAAACTTTAATTCCTATCACAAAAGTACACGAACTTTCAACATTCTTTCACCGGTGGTCCAATAGACGGTTTCTAAGTCACCTTCAGGTCATTTGGGGTCAAATTATAATTTTATAAATTTAAATTTTATGATTTTGATCCCTTTTTCTTTTTTTTTCTCTTGGTTCTCTACCCTTTTCTTCATCTTCTTCAAGACCCCCCACCCTCCCTCTCCTTTTTTTTCTTCTCTTCCTCTTCCAGCCCCACCCCCATCCCACCCCACCCGCACCATTTTTTCTCTTCTTCCCTTCTTCTTCACCGGGGGGTCTTGAAGAAGATGAAGAAAAGGGTGGAGAACCAAAAGAAAAAAAGAAAAGGGGTTAAAATCATAAAATTTAAATTTATAAAATTATAATTTGACTCCAAATGACCTGAATATGACTTAAAAATCGCCTATTGGACCACCGGTGAAAGAATGTTGAAAGTTCGTGTACTTTTGTTATATGAATTAAAGTTTATATACCGAAGTAAAATAATGATGAAAGTTCGTATACCATGGCGAAATTTACCCTGAAAGCGGCTATAATGGACCAGGTGTGGACGTCGGCGAATTTTTGCGATAGAATTTTAAGTTTATGTACCAAACTGAAATAATGTTGAAAGTTTGTATACTATTCGTGAAATTGAGTAATAAAATAATAAAAGTAGGCAAAAAAATGCGGTTAGAGTTTGATGATATATATAGTAAACAGACAACTTAAGTGGCATGGATGAAGTATTTCTTTATACAATTTAATCTATAATTTGTCAAAATAAAATAGCAATGATATTTATAAATTTTTAGATTTTATACCAATATTTAAATAAAATGAAGTAAAAATAACATTAGTAAAGCACAATTAAGTTGCTAATGGTGGATTAGCGGAAATGGCTTGTGTTGCACAACAAAATGAAAATTGAGATTATTTTTTATGAATTTTTATTTTTTAATTTTTTTTGAAATTTTCATTTTATTTTTTAAAATTGCTTTCTACCTCCATCATTTCTTTTTTTTTAAAATTACTTTAAAAAAATAAAAATATTAGATATAAAAATAACAAAAATGAGTAAAGTAACTAAAACGATAAAAAATTAATAAAATAAATAAGGTAATCAATGCAAACTAATTTGAAATTGGTAAGAAATAAAAATATACGGAGTTGTAGGTTTTAATTTTTTACGCATTATACAAAGTATTAACGTATTACTTCTTATTTTTTTAGAAAAAACTATCTAGAATAATTCCAACTTTACCGGACGGCCTGTTCTTTTAAAAAATAAGTAGTACATTAAGATTTCGTATAGTGCATAAAATGTTAAAATCCGCCACGTTGTATACATTTATTTTATTTGTTACGAGTTTCACTTTAATTTCAATTGATTACATTATTTATTTCATTAATTTTGTATGGTTTTAGTTATTTTTCTCATTTTTATTATTTTTTATATCTATTTCTTTTTTAAGGTAAGAATAACCTTTAAAAAAGAAAAAGAAATGAAGGTAGAAAGTAATTCTAAAAATGTAAATGAAAATTTCAAAAAAATTAAGAAACAAAAAATCATCAAATATAATCCTAACTCTCATTTTGTTACGCAAAACAGGCATTTTCGTTAACCCGTCCTTAGAAACTTAACGACGATCCAAAATTCAAAAATTACAGTATAGGATTATTATGCATCACAGTGAAATATTAGATTATTTTTGAAAAATCAAGTAAATTTGAGATTATTTTAGATAATTTTTCCTTAAATTTTTGGTTTATTTATATTCCATTTCCGTTTAACTTACATAGTTCCATCATTTATATTTTCCTTGATCATTCACTCTGAAAAATTATTTTAAAAAGTTACTAACCGAAAATATAAAAAAATATATTGCAACATGTGTAAAAAAAATACACAATAACACAAAAAAAGTACTCCGTATTAAAAATATCACGCATGTCAATGATATTAAGAGCAATGGGTGTAACGCCAGGGGGCATAATTGCCCTTTAACGTGTGAGGCATGCGTTAAATACTGGCCCCTGGGGCTTCATTCGGGCGTCATCCCGCTACATCAAATTTTTAACGGGTATTTGCAGTGGTCCCTTCCATTCAAATGGCTACAAAGCCGTTACAAACTAAAAAAAATTCTACTATAAATTAACTCATTTTTAAACTCACAACTCTTCTTCAAATTAAAAAAAATAAACTGCACACACACATCATCTCTCTCTCCCTCTCTCTCTCTCCCTCTCTCTCTCTCTCTCCCCCTTCTTCTTCTTCAAATTAAATAAAACACTTTTTTTAGGAATGAAGTATATATTACTTTGTACTCGTTTTTTAGTGCTTCTATGGTACACCTTGGGTGCTACGGAGTACTATTTTTGCGAACTTTCTAACATAAAATCCTATTTTTTAATTTTTTTTTTCATAAAAAAAATTACTTAGGGATGTGCAAAAAAAACAAACTAACAGAGTACCATACAAAATGGTTTGTATATAGTACGAAATATGTTTAAATGGGACTAATTCATTTTACCTCGAGGTAATTTTTTTTTATTATCACGGATCGAACAGTTCAAAGTTATCTACGTGGTATCTCAAATACTTATTTGTCTACTTCATATTAGCATGTATGCTCGGAGTACTTCGTATTGTATCATTCTTTTTTAAATATTTTTCACTATTATTGTTGCTATTATATTTAATACTACTATGAGCATTATTTTTTTATGTTATTAATAGTCAAATATTAATGAATTGAAAAAATAATAATTTTTAAATTTGGACTTGTTATCGTTTATTCTTTATGTTTATGATTCATATCCATTTAAATTTGAAATCAATATTTTTTTAACAAAGTTGTGTTTTTTATACAAACTTAAGCTTTTATTTTAATATTCTTTGAGTAATACATGTTTAATCTTTTAGCACAGGTTGAGCATGGTTATGATAATTCTTTAATATCAAATAATTCATCAATCAAATAATTCTTTGATACATGTTTAATCCATGGACCGCGTCCACCCCTCTATCTTGTGGTTGGAGAGCATGAAAATTGAAAAATTCCGGCAAGCACAAGGGCAAAGTTGTGATGTAGCTAGACAAGTATATATTCCTTAGATTCCAAAATTGACTCATTATTTCCTTTTCTCGACGTTCCAAAACAAATTTTCTTTCTTCTTTTTGTTAGACAAAAGTGCAACTCTAGAGAGAGGGTGAATAGAGTTGTTCGCTAGAATGTGCGTAAATCGCTTGCGTGGTAATAAGAAAAAACTGCAGGAAAATGTAAAGAGCAAGGGAAAGGAGTACACCGTGATTTATACTGGTTCACCACCTCGTGGCTAGTCCAGTTCTCCGAGAGACTCTCTCAAAGGTCCTACTAAACTTCAAGCTTCAACGGGTGCTTGAAACACCGATACAACTCGAGAACTTGAATCACATAAGCCTCAACTTCTTACAACAAGATTTGAGTCACACAAGTCTTAACAACAACAAGACTTGAATCACACAAGTCTTAACAACACTCAAAACAAGATTGAGTTTACAACACAGAGATGAAAGCTCACACAATTGAGCAAGTAGTGTTTGAAAGATTAAAGCTCTATGGATGACAAGATCTTTAGCACTCAATGAAAAAATATTTCTAACTCTCAAAATAATGTATTTGATGAGGAAGATGGAGGCAAGATATGAATAAGGAGCAATAGAATATTGGAGTGTAAGAAGATGTGTGAAAAATGAAGGAGAATGAGGGATTAAATAGGTTGTAGGAAATGGAACCGTTGGAGCCACTGAAAGATACAGAGAATTGGCACCAGGTAATATTATTCGATTAAAATAGAGAATGTAATTGATTAGAATGCTATGAGTAGAAAAAGTCTTCTGCGAAGGGTGGAACTAATCGATTAAAGATAATAGGAAAATCGATTAGAGGGCTCTGAGTCGACTAATCGATTAAGGCAAAGAGGAAAAAATCGATTAAACTCAAAACTTGAGTAAACCATCGCTAAGCAAAAAAGCAACTAATCAATTAAACATATATGGTTTAATCGATTAAGTGAAATCGATGAGAAATGAACTAGATCTAATCGATTAATTTAGGAATTTTAATTGATTAATAAAGAAATAATGAGCAAACACAAAGGACCCAAGGCCAGTTGCGATTGAGAGCAAATTGACTTAACACTCGGGAATCAGAGAACGCTCCTCCTCTTTATTTAATGAATTTGAATAAGGGAGTAAAAGTATATTTTTTTTATCAAAAAAACATTTGCGTATCTATAAAAAAATATTAGAAGAATTTTTGACACACTACGGAGTATTTTGAAACTGACTCAGTAAATTATTTTAGATAGAGAAAAAATGATTTTTCAACTGACTCAGAAAATAATAATTTTTATTCTTCAAAAAATTAATTTTTTTATGCAAATATTGTCATCCTTACAAAAAATTCCTAGACTCAATAAAAATAAAAAGTCTTCGGAGTCTTCACTTCACTTCAAAAATTTGCATAGGGGGTGAGCGTTGATTTTTATCGCCGTAAATTTCTTGATACGCCTCTTTGCTTTTCTCGATACGAAAAATAAATTTTCGATCATCGTTGAATTTAGTCATCCTGTTTGTCATTTATCAAAACAAAAAATATTCCAGAAGATAAAATATAATTTCAACAATATTATAGAAAGAATTTTAAAAATAAATAATACCATACAAAGTACTCCATATACGGTAAGATAAAATAC